AAACTAAGTTCTTGACAGTTCAGAAATATTCAAGTTTACATCTGTATCTCCAATCCCCATGCTACTATGTATGCTGCAGTTAAACAGTAGATGCTAAATAAACAATGATAGCCCGGTGATTGTAACGACAAATCAACAGAACTTGAATTACATCAATTTGGTCATTCTATATGAATATGTAGAGTTTAATTGTGTTTCAAATTTATTCAAAGAGTACGCAAACTGAGAGGCATAATATTTTTGTTTGGTAAACGCAAATTTTAGTTCACACAAAAATATACTGAATTTAAACAATATCTTTAAAATTGACATTTGTTATTCTAATAGTTATTTTTTTGTTTAAAACCAAAGAATGAATCAAAAAATAATGATTGTTACTGATCATTACATAATAATTACTAAATATAATTTTGTTGTATAAAGGACAGGGGTGTTAAAAATGATCCCCTCTTACGATGTTAAGTGAAATAAGCCAGACAGAGAAAGACAAATACTGCATGATTTCACTCATATGTGGAATATAACAAATACTTAGATAAAGAGAACAGATTAGTGGTTACCAGAGGCGAAGGGGGTGGGTAGTGGGTGAAACAGGTAAAGGAACACATATGTGCAGTGACTGACGATAATTAGTTTACTTGGGGTGAACACGATGAAGTCTACTTGGAAAATGATAAACAATAATGTACACTCGAATTTTCACAATGTTATAAACCACTATTATCTCAATAAAGTTACTGAAAAAAGAAAATGATCCCCTCTGGTTGTCAAATACACTAGGCATGCCAGTGATCACAGGTGTTGCCCGAGGTGATGGTTACTCTCCCTGTTGTCCAGGCTCATTTTAGCCCAAGGGCACTCTTGTATGATCTTGTTCTCTTCTCTTTCCCTGCCATTCCCAAAAAATTCACTAGCCAATGCAATTCAATTCATATCTCTAAATCAATGCCCTTCTGGTCATCCACTTCCCAGTCTATCGCTTTCTTTATCTGATCTTCTGATCTCTAAAAAAAAAAAAAATTCTGATTTCTCTTCTTTTATTAGGTTATCTATGCTTTATGATCGTCTGTGTACTGATTACTCTCGAATTTATATCTCTGACTCTCACCCTTCCCCAGAACCTCAGACTCATATACCCAACTCCCTATGCCACAGCTCCATCTGGATGTTTGATGGGCATATTAAATTGATTGTGATCAAATATGATATAATGTTCTTGCCATATCTACCGTTCCCCAAGGAGTCCCCATTTCAGTAAATGGCATCACTCTTCAACAAGTCATTCAGAGCATAAACTAGTAATCCAACTAAAAATGGACAAAAGACCTAAATAGACACCTTTTCAAAGAAGATATACGAATGGCCAACAGGTACATGAAAAGATGCTCAACATCACTAGTGACGGGGAAACGCAAATTAAAACCGCAATGAGATATTGTCTCACACCTTAGAATGCCTATTATCAAGAAGATAAGAGATAACAAATGCTGGCGAAGATGTGGAGAAAAGGGGACACTTGAGCACTATTAGTTGGATTGTAAATTGATACATCCACTATGGAAAACAGTATGGAGGATCCTCAAAAAATTAAAAATAGGGCCAGCCACCTGGCTTAGCGGTTAAGTGCACCCGCTCCGCTACTGGCGGCCCCGGGTTCGGATCCCGGGCGCGCACCGACGCACCGCTTCTCTGGCCATGCTGAGGCCGCGTCCCACGTACAGCAACTAGAAGGATGTGCAACTATGACATACAACTATCTACTGGGGCTTTGGGGAAAAAAAAAGGAGAAGGATTGGCAATAGATGTTAGCTCAGAGCCGGTCTTCCTCAGCAAAAAGAGGAGGATTAACACGGATGTTATCTCAGGGCTGATCTTCCTCACAAAAAACAAAAAAAATTAAAAATAGACCTACCATATGATTTAGCAATTCCACTTCTGAAAATATATCCAAAGAAAATGAAAACACTAACTCAAAAAGATATCTGCATCCTCAAGTTCATAGAAGCATTATTTACAATAGCCAAGATGTGGAAACAACCTAAGTGTCCATCAATGGATGAATAGATAAAGAAGTTGTGGTATGTATATATATATACACAGAATATTATTCAGGCATAAAAAATGAGGAAATCTTGCCATTTGTGACAACATGGATAGAGCTTGAGGGTGTTATGCTAAGTGAAATAAGTCAGACAGAGAAAAACAAACACTGTACGATCTCACTTATCTGTGAAATGTAAAAAACAGACAAACTCAGAAAAAGACATCAGATTTGTGGTTACCAGAGGTGGGGTGGGGGTGGGGGGATAGCGAATTGGAGGAAGGTGGTCAAAAGGTACCAACTTCCAGTTACTAGATAAATGTGCTTGCCCCTAAGCACCAGAGATGTAACGCACAATATGATGACTATAGTTGACATTGCTGTATGATGTACATAAAAGTTAAGAAAGTATACTCTAAGAGTTCTCATCACAAGGAAAAACTTCTTTTTCCTTTTTCTCTTTTTCTTTTTATTGTATCTATATGAGATGATGGACGCTAACTAAATTTATTGTGGTAATCATTTCACAATATATGTAAGTCAAACCATTATGCTGTAAATCTTAAATTTATACATGGATGTATGTCAATTATATCTCAATAAAATGGGAGGAAAAAAGAACATGACCTTGATTTTTCACTACTCTCTTTCTCCTCTACCCCACATCAGTCAACCCTAAAGAAACTCAACCTTCTCTATATAATCCAAATCCATTCAATTCTCACTCCTTCCCCAACCATCCTCTGAGACCTGGACCTCTACAGAAGCCTGCTACCTGGTTTCCTTGCTCTCCTGTTTTCCATCCAATCTCTTCCATAACAGTGGCCTTAGTAAGCTTTATAAAACATAAATTATCTTATGTTACTCCCCGGAGCAAACCGCTGCAGGAATTTCCTGTCAAATTTACAATAAAACCTAGAGCCCTTACATTGGCTTACCAGTGCTACATAATCTGGCCCTGGCTGTATTTCTGACCTCACTTCTCACTCCTCTTCCTTATTTACTTCACTCTCTCGGACCACACTGCCTTTGTTGCCATTCCTTCAACACACCACCATCTCCCTGCCTCTGGCTCTTTACACTTGCTTGCCCCTTAGCCTGGAACATTTGTCCCAACTTTTCCTGTGGCTCACCCCTCACTTCTGCAGATCACTGCTCACAAGTCACCTTCTCTGAGACGTCTTCCCTGAACACACTGCATTTTGCACAACAGCACAGAGGCACGCCAATTGCCTTGCCCTAATTTCCTTTTCTTCAGGGCATTTTTCAATATCTGACATAGTATATATTTATCTCCCACATTAGAACGTAGTCTCAAGAGGGCAAGGACCTTATCTACATTGCCCACGGCTGAGTCACCAAAGCTAGAATTGGTACACAGAAGCTCTGTAAATAGTCATTGAATTAACAATTGAATTAATCTACCCAACTTCTATACCAAATCCAAGTCTGTGCTCTTTCTTACTCTCTATCACTCGTTTCTTCAACTCCCATTTGGTAATTAAGGAAGCCTCCTTGCCTTTTTGCTGGCATTGCTAAGCCTCATTCTCAAAGTTGCCTGAGAAAGATATGTAGAAGACCTGGCTGTTCATCAGAGGGTAGGTCTACAGAAGGGGGCAGCGAGGCTGGCCACAGCAGAAGCAGGGCCGGACTTTCCCACCTCTGCGTCCAGTAGCAGTCTCTGCTTCTTCATCTTGCACTTGAATCACGGGACTCAATCACGGTGACCATGCGCCCGCCATGGAGGATGAATCATAGCACTCCCGCTCCTCTTGCCCATACACAAGTCCTCTAATCTTTATTCACTATTCCAAAACCTAAAAGGCTCTGAAAGCCTAAAATAGTCCCCAAAGTTTAAGGCTAATTCATCTGGCAGCAAAGCCTGACGTGGCCTAGTGTCGGCTATTTATGGTCTTTATTCCACGCTTTGTGAATATTCACAAATTTTCACAGCAGACGTATTAATGTGTTTGATTACTGGATGCTGCCCCAGACCTCCCCAGTAGTACAGTGTAATATACAGAATTTTCACTCTCTTACCCTCCAAAATCTGAAAAATTCCGACTTCTGAAACACGTCTGGGCCCAGCCACCTTTAATAATAGACTGTGGAGCCCTACTGATTTTTTCAGCCTCACGTGGTGGACAAGGAGGTCATGTGACTCAGAACTGAACAAGGAAATTTAAGAAGAAATCTGCTTGGTCTTCTGGGGAAAAATCTAGCATCCAACATGAAAAGGCAAAGACTCCAAAAAGAATGGCCTTATCTCACTCCTTCCTTCCCTCTTGCTCAGGTAGGGTCACACCTGAGGATGTGATGCCTGCCATCTGCGACTCTGAGGAGACAACATCAAGGATGAAAAGCCAGGGAACTGAGGGTGGTGGAGAAGAAGGGAAAAAGACCAGGCTGGTAATGACCATGTTGAGCCTTCAGAAGAACCCTGGAATCAAGCACCACGCTTCCGGTTAAGTAAGTCGTAATCCAGTTTGTTTGCAAACCAGTGGTACTCAGGTTTTCTGTTACTTTCGCACAGAGGGGATTAGCCAGGAACAATAAAATGATGTCTAAACAGGAGACAAGTAGGGCCCTCTGTCAGCAGCCCATAAAGTCACCTCTTCCTGATGAAGGATCAAACAAGAGGCCTATAATACAGGGCAGTCAACAGAAGGCCCAGGTGCTGGACTCCTCATCAGGCTGCCAAGAAGAAAGGAGAGGGAAGAACAGAAAGGCAGGGCGACTCCCCTTGGCAGAGAACCACAACAAAGGCAGCCATTGTTCATCGTGGGCACACTAACGTTTACCACAGTTATGTGTCACACTCCAGCTGGCACAGTCCTTTGAAAAGGTACTGGGGAGTGTGTTGGTATGTGTGCCTGCTTGTGTGTTAAGGGGTGGTCAGGTCAATACCACAGGGTATATAACCTCCTTGCCTGGCCAGTCCTTGCAGACCTTTTCTGAACTTTTCGGTGAGTGAGTCTGCTCTGCAGCCACTCCCTGCTCCTCCAAACTGCTTAAAGAAATCCAGGCTCCCCCATACTAACACTGCTGTTCCTCCCTCTGTGCTCTCTCGAGACTCGCCACGTTCTCCTCTCCCTTCCTTCCCAACCACACTAGAGCTCAGAGAGCTCAGCGTCTTTCCATCTTTCCTCCCAGCCTCAGGACACTGCCTTCCTACAGGATGAAGCCTACCTCTAGCTTCCTTCTCATCCTCATCTCCCTTCTCCAGCTGACGATCCCAGGAAGTGCTCAGTGTTCCTTAGACTCCATTGTGAATGAAAAGATGAAGCAAGCTCTCATCCATCTAGGTAAATGACAGGAGTTGGGGAGATGTGGGAGGGTAGCCCCTGATCTGCCTCCTGTCCTAACTTGTCCTCTATCCCATCCCAAGATCCAAACCTCTAATGAGTCCACTCAAGCCCAATCTTCCTGCCCAGGTCTTTTTCCACTCCCTTATAACTTTTTGGATTCTTGGCTAAAAGTTCAGGTTTCCCTGACAACAATGAGATTGATGATGAGGAGGAGGAGGAAGAGGATAGCTATAATTTATGAACTCTCACTATAAATGAGATAAAATGCAAAGCCTTACATAGATTACTTCACTTAATTTTCACTTTATGAGGTAAGTACAACTATTACTTTTGTTTTACAAATGAAGGAAGTAAACCTTAAAAGCTAGTGAGTAGCCTGATTATGGACACACTGCCACCTCTAAGGTAGACGGGCATTTGGAAAGGGATTATGGGAGACAGAGATCATGGGCCATACCCCTTCTTCTCTCCCACTCAGAGTTCAATCCTTCTGCTCCTCAAAAGAAGATCTCATGTACCAGTATCAAGACCTCAGGCAAACTGTCCTCCTGCCCTGCTGGTGAGTAACTCCTCGAGAAGGGATGGCAGGTAAGATGCCCCATGGCCTCCCCTGTCCACTCCCAGCACCTACACCTTCCGCATCTCACATTTGTATTAGCCTGCGGCTGAGTCATACTCCTGGTTCCCAGAGATCCCTTACCCATTCTCATTTCTCTTAAGGATGCTACTGAGGGATCTTGGGTTTCTGCCTCTTCCCATCCCACCTTCCTTTCAGGACCTCATATACTGGCCCTTCCTCCCCTCAATTGCCATGTTATGGTCACGTCACCTACCACTCCCCCATCCTTCATCTCTCTTCCCCCATCTATTCCCTTGTTTTGGTGGGGAGAGGCCAGTGCAGAGGTGAATTTATCGTGAATCTAAGGAAATAGAAACACCCAGGCCCCTCACTTTCTTCCGTGCCCCTACACCTAAATTTGTTTTAGTAATTTTTGCATTTTTTTTTCCTTAAAGAGGGTCCTCAGGGGCCGGCCCCATGGCTTAGCAGTTAAGTGCATGCGCTCTGCTGCTGGTGGCCCGGGTTGGGATTCTGGGCATGCACCGATGCACCGCTTCTCTGGCCATGCTGAGGCCGTATCCCACATACAGCAACTAGAAGGATGTGCAACTATGACATACAACTATCTACTGGGGCTTTGAGGGAAACAAAAAACAAAGGAGGAGGATTGGCAATAGACGTTAGCTCAGAGCCGGTCTTCCTCAGCAAAAAGAGGAGGATTAGCATGGATGTTAGCTCAGGGCTGATCTTCCTCACAAAAAAAAAAAAAAAAAAAAGAGGGTCCTCAAAATTGAATTAGCTTTTAGCCCCACAAAACCAAGATACACTCCTGTGCTGCACAGGGATGAAAAATGGTTATGGGTGGACTTTTCTCTTCTCAAAACCTAAGGGCTCTGATGTCTATGTCTCATGTGCTCATGCAGGGACTGTTGTCACCGGCTGTGCTTGTGGCTATGCCTGTGGTTCCTGGGATGTCCGGGGGGAAACCACATGCCACTGCCAGTGCAGCTTGGTAGACTGGACCACTGCCCGCTGCTGCCGCCTGACCTGAGAAGGAGGAGGATGGGAACCCACTTGTGTGACCGTGACTCTAAAGAAACCACGACCCCAAACAGGAAACCTGACTCAAACTGTCCCTTTCATTTGTTACAACCCTACTTCTTGGGTAATAAAAACAATTTTTGCATCTCTCTGTGTTTATATTTTTGATATTACCACTCCTGGCTAAGGACTCCTCTAGCCGGAAAAAGTTTCCAGCATCCCAATTACTCTAACTTGGCAAGGATTAGGAAAAAAATGGGGAAAACGGGAAAAACTGATATTGACACTCCAGTTCTTTCATTATTGTACAAAAGGATAATGACTCTGTGCCAGGCATTTTGCTTAGCACTCAAGGTACAGAGAAAAAATAACAACATGCCCTTATGGAGCTCACCAACTAGAACAGGGGGCTTGGCAATTCTTGGCAGGGTAGCTGCCAGGCTTGTAGGGATGCCATGAAGAAAGGAGAGGAGAGAAAGAGAAAGGCAGGAAGACTGGCCTAAGCAGAGAACCAGAGCCAAGGCAGCTGGTACCTCTCTGGACACACACTGGAGATTGCTTCAGGCTCTTTCTGAAGGCTTGACCCTCTCTGGCTACCATAGATCCCAAGTACTGCCAGTGCTTGTTGGTAGAAGGGAGGCAATGCCCTCGCGACATGACAGGCCACCAGGGTATTAAACGTCCCTGCCTTCCCAACCTCGGCAGCCCTTCCCTAAGCCTGGCTGTGTGAGTCTGATGCACAGCTCTCTTCCCTAACATCCCTGCTCCTCAGGAGTGCTGCCTCCCTTTCCCTGCTCCCAAGAGCACCTAGTCCTACTTTCTCTTCTCCTTTCCCTCCCCTCTCGACCCAAGAATCGTTTTTCATTTTCTCTCCATTTTCCCCTTCATCAAAGGATGCTGCCTTCCTACAGGATGCAGCCCTCTTCTCACCTCCTTCTCCTCATCCCCTTTCTCCAACTGATGACCTTAGGGGATGCTCAGTGCTCCTTAGATTTTGCTGTGGATGAAAAGATAAGAGCAGATCTCAGTGAACTGGGTGACTGATACTGGAGGGGGTGATGGGGATGGGGGCAGTTATATCCCTGATGCTTAATCCAGCTGCTAGACTCCACCCCATTTCCCAATCCGTCTCCAGATGGCAACCTTTACCTAGAAGATCATCCCAAAGTCCCTGCCCTCTCTATGCCTTCTGGGCTCCATGAGATGCTGGTGATGGCATTGATGAAGGCTACACCTAACATTCTTGAGCACTATGTGCTAGTTGCTGTTAGGTGTTCTATTATTATTTTATTAACTCCTCAGTACAACTCTATGAGGTAAGCACTGTTATTTCCATTTTACAGAAGAGGAAACTGAGGCTTAGAGACGTTACATAATTTGGCAAACAACACACAGCTATTAAATGACTTGATGCTGGACACAGGGACTCCTTTGTATGAGCAGAAAGGTGATATAGGATTTGGGGAAGGGGGTCCGCCAGTTTGGGCCCTGTCTTAGCTCTTTGTCTCTCTCACGGAGTCTAAGCCATCAGGCTGTACAAAACAGCTCTCTTGTTCCAGCATCACTAATGAGGGTAATCTGTCCACCTGCCCCTCAGGTGAATAAGTGTATGAGGATGAAGGTGCTTGCTCACCCCACACCCATTCTTGTGCACCTGGGCTCAGGCTGTCAAGCCATCACTGTACCAGAAGGTTGTCCCCAATTTCAGGATTGTCATGTCATTGGGTTGAGTCACAACTCCAACACCCGTAATTTTCTATCTATTCTTTCCTCCCAGGGGGCTACTTAGGGATCTGACATTTCTTTCCACTCTCTCCCCTCTTCCTTAGTCTCTGCTACCCCAACCTTTCCTCCCCTTCAGTGCCCTGCCATGTCACCTCCCTCCTCCCCCATATCTTCCATCTCCCCCTCCCGATCTAATCGCACACTGTTTCTGCCCCATCATAAGGCAGGAGACAAAGAATGATTAAGGGAAGGCTTCTCTCAAAATCTAAAGGTTATAGTTTTCTCTCCCCTACCCCATGCCACACAGGGTATATCATCACTGGATGCTTGTGTGGCTACACCTGTGGCTCCTGGGATGTCCAGGGGTAAAACCACGTGCCTCTGCCAGTGCAATCCTGTAGGATGGGCCACTGCCCACTGCTGCCACCTCATCTAAGTAAAGGAGGACGAGATCTCAGTCTGGGACCATGAAAACAATAAAACCACGGCCCCGACCAGGAAACTCTACCCCTTTCATTCAAACCGTGACTTCTCAACTTAAGACCCCTCTGCTTGTGACACACCTGCTTCCCGAATAATAAAGATAGTCTTTGCATCTCTCTGTGCTTCTGTCTTTGGTATTGCTAGCCCCTGACCTGGGTCTTCTCTATCTATAGGATCTCTCCTCTACTCCAAGTACTCCAACATGTGCTGTGATGGGGGAGGCTATGAAGAAGATCAGAGGGACTGAAATCAACATTCCATTCTCCCCACCATTATCTCATTCTTCAATAAATATTGATCAACACTATTCGAGGCTCTGTTCTTGGCAATAGACGTATAGAGAAGTAAAAACTACATACATACCCTAAAAGTACTTACTATCTAGAACGTTCCTTAGACAGCAAGGCATGTATGCTTTGCTGCTGCCTGTGAATGGTCTAGACATCACTCCTCTAATCACCCTACACTGTTTTAAAATACCGGTTTTATTATCTAAGTATGGCAAGGCCAACAGATCTGGAGATGCCTGCCATTGAAAAGGAAATTTGTCATACTCACAGATCCCAAGAGAAAGGGGCAGGCTATGCCATGCCACAGGGGGCCACTCAGGAAGCACTGAGGTCAGCCAGGAGGTATAGGGAGAGGGGGGAAATGGGCAAGAGCCTTTACCGTGGTTTCCATGGGAATGAATGGGCACAGCAGGGTAAGCAGATTTAGGATTGACTAGTTTAAATAATTTCAGCAGGCTCTGGGGTACAGGGGCTGTCCTAGATGCCTGGTACCTGGCCTTATGGTGATAGGGCAGGTGGATATTGACCCAGAGTGTGAGATCCCTATAAAGGAGGTGGGTGAGGTTATGGGCTCTGGATGAGTTGCTTTGCATATGAAATGCATCCTCAAGGCTAGTTGTTTGCCATCTCTGGAAATTAGCTACCTTGGGGAGGAGCAGTCCCCCAGGGTCAGCAAGGCCCCTTGAGGTTAAAGCATCAGAAAATAAAAGGCATGGTTAATACACACACTTTTTACAGGCGGTCAATTTTCCTGCCACTTCCTCTAGGAAAGGAGCCTGACACATAATTCCTCTTTGGACTACTATGGTGCTCCAGCCTGGGAATTCCTATATGGTGCCTCAGATCTTTCTTAGTATGCTAGAATCTCTATGTCACAAGCTCAGGGAGACATCTGTCATATTGTGAGGAATTTTTGTAGTACAAATAATAGGCACCTGGGCAAAATGTAAGTGCCAGCTGAATCCCTGATCCTTTTAGCTGAAGCAGTGCTTCAGTCTGACTCACTCTCAGGGTCAGACTGTCTGCTCATGGTACAGTTTCCCTTCCATGGGATTTGATTGATTTGCCCAAGAGTTAGTTATGCACCTGGAACTGGACCCAAGGCTGATATCAAAAGACAAACCCTGAGTTGTACTAGCCCATGGATCAGTGCTGTGAAACACCCGGGAAAGAACAGGCGAGTCTTTTGTCTTTGGAGAAGCCAAATAGAAGAGAAAGTAGCAGATGCCAAAGGCAGGTGGTGATTCTTCCTGTAGCCTTCTGGTGTCTCCAGGGCCAGTCCCTGAGTGCAGGGCCTCTCTAGAGAATCATGAACCAGGAGTGGGATATCAACTGACAATGTTTACAGCTTTGCCAAACCATAGGGAGAAATCTTCACTCTATTGCCTCTGGGATCCAGCATATATGAATCTGCTTCTAACTCTAACATGAATGACCTCTCAGCCCCTACTCTTTGAAGTCTGCAATCATTTGTCCCAGGCTGACTGGTTCTCAATGCCTCTGGTAAGGAAGATAAATCATCCACTGTATAAAATCATATAGCCTAGTACCCATGATTTGTAGACAGTCCTTTTCAATTATCCACCAGGCACTTGATAATAAAAGACTCCATGTTACTGGCTCTATGGGCAAAAAGAAAAAGATAAAAATGGGACCAGTATCCAATGTTCCCATTCTTGTCCACATGGGTCCAGTATGGAACACTCTGACAAGTCTGGGTATGCTTTCCCTCCAAATGGGAATGGTTTACACCACTTATTGTGTGTTGATTCAGATCGTGGTTCCACTGATGAGGCCACCATCTTTTCTGTCCTTGGAAGAACCAGAGAAGTGTGATTGGTGTTCAGATCTTCATTCTAATAGGAGGGTGGTAACACCAATGTAGCAGACCTGGTGTGGGGTCAGAAGTCAGATTTTATAATGCTGCTCCCTCCTCTCCTCCTTACCTCTACCTCCACTATAACCATCACAGCAAAGCTCTCGCTCCTCACAACTTCTTTCCTCTGAAGTTTGTTACTCCTTTAGACAAGAGTTAGCTTATTTATCTCGAAGACTCCATTGAAAAATATAGGTTTCATTACAATTATCTCAAATGTTCTATACTACTGGCCTTATCACGAGCCCAACACAAAATTCTCTTATTCATGATACTGTTTAAGCCAAAACATACTCAATATCTTTTTGCTGAACTTTTATCTTTAGGAAAGAAAAATGGTAGTAATATTCTACAGGGAAAAAAATCCCCCAAACAAGGCTGACAACTGCTTTTTTTTTACTACCCAAATCCCAAAAATGTCATGATCACAAAAAGAGCAGGAAATTTTTCAGAAACCTATACATTATTCAGTGATCTTTGATGATTTATTATTCATGAGATGATATTGGGGAGGTGGAACATTCAAGACAGGAAACAGAAAAAGAAAATGAAGGTAAAGCCAAAAATGTGTGTGCATTTAGTTCTCCATAATTTTTATTCAAATGCTGAATACACCCCACATAAGCTTCACCTGTTGCCCTTTGGATACTTAGAATACCATAGCTCACAGTCTTTTTTTTTTTTTTAGTCAATAAATTTTATTATTTTAGAGTAGTTTTAGTTTCAGAGCAAAGTTGAGCAGAAATTAGACCATTCCCATATACCCCATCC